GAAAAGCAGTGGGCCCATGCTTCCTTAGGGGTCTCTTCGTACGCTTCTCGCATTTTTGCACGCTTTCACAGCATCTTCAAGGATAGTTAAGTGACTACCTTGAATTTTATTTTTAGTTCTTGAGAATAAATAAAGGTCACAGGGTGCCAGGTCAGGATTGTATCGCGGATGACACATAACCTCGACGCCTGCAATAATTAAATATTCAACAACCCGTTTCGTGGAGTACTCTGAAGTATTGAGGTGGTGAAGAAGGATCCTGCTTCCAAGACAATAGGCAAACAAAAATGGATATACCAGTCTGCAGTAAGTACCCTTACATCTTTTAGCAAAACTATCTCGAAATTACCTTTCTGACCTAAGAATGAGTCATCCTTTCTTTTTAACTTCTTCCTTTCTTTACCTTAGTTGGCCGATCCTCGAAAGAACACACTCACTGAGCTGATTGTCTTTTGATTTCGGGTTTGTAGTAATATATGCAGCTTTTATCACTTGTGACGATGTCCAATATTTAAATCACCGCCAAAGAACTTATCTAACATTTTATCAGTCATCAGTCCATGGGAAGGTATTTCCCATCGTTGATTAAAGTATGGGGAATCAATCTGGTATAAAGCTTCCTGACGCCTAAATGTTTGTATAATATTTTTGAACTTGACTCACACCCATGCCTAGGCTTACCCGTATCTACTGATAGGTCACTCTCTTGTCTTCCTCATGTCTCTCACAGTACTCATTTTATCTGCAGTTAAATGACGTCCCTAATTAAGTTATGCTTATACTCGTTAAACCAATTTTTAACCAGAAATGCTAATCGCAGCCTATCGTAGCTTTGTTATTGAGTAAGCCTACAAGAAAAATCATAATAAATCATTGACCGAAAATTTTCTCGCGTTAGGTTAATTGAAATGAAACAATAGTTTTAACAAATGATAAATGAATGTATATACTATATTAGATTACCAAAGAGTTCTAAAATTAAAATTCAAATAGTTTTCATTATAAACGTTTCTAACTGGCCAGTTTTACCTAACCATTTCCAGTGGTATCCACTTATTACCAATTTTTTTTTAATAATGCCGATATTTTTAAACCAATATAAAGTAAGAAATTATGTTAAAATGTTATCGAAAAACTATCGTACTCTACCTTATTCACACTATTTTTTATCGAAATTTAATACTGATATTGAAAAAAAAAGCAGTTTTTGTACACAATTTCTAGATGTTGAAAATATGTATTTGGTTGAATTCGATTTTCCTACATTTGCCGAGCTATCTTCTTCTTTTTATTACATCCGATATTTATGTATATATGAAAGGTGGCAAACGAGCAGGCGGCCCACTTGATGGAAGGAGTCACTGTCGCCCATGGACATCCGCAACATCTTTGTTGCGGATGCGTTGCCAACCTTGTTTTTTTTGGAATAGGGAGGGGTGGGAATAAGGAAATGGAAGGAAAGTGTGGGAATAGGGAAAGGCCAAACGACTCTCGCAATCATCGGACGAAACGCTGCCAATAAAGGATATTTCACGCCGATCTTCTGTGAGAGGGTGGTACTTACTCCGTCGAGCCAGCCCATGTTCGAGCTGTAGTAACACAGCTAAGCTCTACCACCTTAGAAATTGATCATCCGATATTGATCCGTTGAAACTGAAAACTTCAGAAAGAAAGGTTTTCAGAAGTATTTTGTTGTCATTGTTTCGAATAGACGTAAGTTGTCATTCTACAAAAATAATATTACTTATTAACTGAAAAATTAAATAAATGCAAGTCTGAATTTAAATTTAACATCCGATATGAAAAATAAAAAGTTCGGTAGACATAAAATTTCCGTAATTCTAGGTATTAAAAAATATATTTTTAGTAACAAAACTTTTGAACATTTCTGAAACCAAAATTATAAGCTATATTCAGAGTAAACTTAAATTTACTCTTTAAAAATCTCTGTCCCCATCCATATAAATAGCTCGCAAGTAGATTACAGACTGGAAAAAGTATTTATTATAAGATTTACATAGGTAGTTATTTGATATACCTCTATGTTTCTAGGGTAATGGGAAGTTGATTTGAACTCCCAGAAATAGACATAGAGCATTCATATTAATTTAATTTTGAAACATATGTACCGCAAGTCAACTGTACGGTTTATAAACGCGGCATATATATTTAAAGCGTAAGCTTTGCATCGAATCTTGGTGATCTTTTTTAAGAAATAGGCCCGCCATATGAAATAATGTCTTTAAGCTCTCAAAAGAATAAACGATCAATGTGCTCACAAAATCGAATAAAAGAATCAAGATTTTATTTAAATTCTTTAGAAAATAAAATAAAGAGTAGGAAGGTTATTTGTGATTGTGCGGCGACGTGTAAGGTCAAATAAACATAGTTTCTTGTTCAAAACTAGGTTCAAAAGCAGATAGGATGAGGAAGTGAAACACAATACGGGCGAAATAACTGAATTTGCTGAAACGCTCTTTATGTTTCTTGAACACTCTTTTCACTTGTTCCGTATATACATTGTACTTTTGTCGGTAATTGTTTATTGAAAAACTTATACAATATCACGAAAAACATTCACTCCATAAGGCAAGGTATTCGTCCAGTTCAAAAAAGAAGGATCTTCCAGTTCAAAAAAGTCTTTAATAAAGTTTTCGTTATTTACTTTTTATAAAAAAAACTGTGTGATTGAAGTTCTTAAAGGAGTGTGATGAATATAGAAATTTGAGCCTGGAGAATTTGGATTGACCATATTTTAAATACGGTTATAAGGTCAAATGAATTCAAAAGATAGAAGATTCTATATGGCCATACGCAGTGAGAAAGCGCAATGGTCTAGCGATTTGAGTTTTGACATAGGAGAGTATTGGACAAAAGTTGATATAGAAAACTCACATGTATATTGCATGTATGTGGGTTTTGATATCATATATATGATGTTGAGAGGTAATAGATATAGCGAGATATGACAAATAATTTTCATCTGTTCACAACTCTGAGAACAGATTGAGTTGGCGTCAAATCAATTTTAAGGAATATAAGACCAATTTTGATTTAGTTGTTAAATTAGAATAAACTGAAAGTTTAAAAACAATTTTTGATACATATTACGTAAATTTCAATAATAATTTGCATATTATTTCTCACTAGTGCAATTGTACTTAAAACAAAAATATTATGAATGTAATATTTGGCTTAAACAAGCTTTCTTAGAAAAAAAAATGGTTTTAGGTTGTTGCGTAAAGTATCAGTGTATTCTTCAAAAATAAAAACCGGTGAGTACTCTGTGCATTAATGTGGTAGCAATTAAAATAATCTCCATGCCTTCCAAGTTCATTTAATAGCTCATCGCGAAGGAAGGGCGAAAAAAAATCCAGCATCAATCTAAAGAGTATAACGATTCAGCGTCATTACAAACCGAATAATTAGAATAATTTCCTTCAGAATACCAAAAAAAAGTAAAAGAATTAAATAAAAGTAAATAATATTATAATTTGTAAGAAATTATTACTAAACAAATATATATCATGGGACAAATTACCTTTCATAATTAAAAGTAAACTAGAACGCACAAATAGTTATAATTTTTTAAAATTTCACAAAATTAACCAAAAATGTAACGAACAAAATATATGTTTACGGTTATTGATCTTTTTAATTAAACGTTAACTTAGTAGTAATATGTCTAACAGGGACCAATAATCGACTGTTTATATGAATTTAACAACAAAAACTGGTTATAAAAATGTTAACTGAAGTAACAGTTATAGAGTAAGTCACGAATAACATGTGTAATAAATGAAGAAAGTAGTTGAAATGGTATTTTAGTTCAATCCCCTTATTATATAGTAAACATCGATTACTTTAAATGAAAGATTTTCGAGAGACAAAACACTTTCATCCCATCTGCCCGAGGTCACGGTTGCTGTAAAGGAACCGAAACGTCGGGATTATCTAGTTACAAAATAATAAAAAAGCGTACTGTCTGAACAATTTATTTTAATTTAATTAATCCATTATTTTAACACCCCATGAAGTATGTTCTTATGTGGATACGCTCATAACCTCATATTGCACTCTTTTATTTTTTATACAGATATGACATTGCGAATACAAAGTGGTAGAAAATTTCAAATATGTTCAAATATATATCTGGTATGAGGTTGTTACATATTGAATTGAAACTAAACTGAACGTGAAATCTTTACTTTTGAGAACAGCATTCTAATTACATTTTTTGTTTAGAGCTCAAAACCTACGCTTGCATTAAATGTACCTAAGTAGATTTTGAAATAATTAGTTTTGAAATGGAGAAAATTTCTATTTGCTTAGTTATATTTATTTATTAATCTGAAAATAAGTCAAATAAGTGTTGTGAAGAGCAACAAAATGATTGTCATATTAGTTAGTTGTCATATCTAATGGCAAAAAACTGTATGGGAAATAAAAAAGCGCTGTTTATAGGGTTTTACCGGAAATTAATAAAAAAAATTCAGCTTTTAAACCTTCCCTGAACCTCCACGAACAATTCAAGACTATGATAAGATAAATCTTCTCTCTCGTTCTCGAGTTTTAGAGAGACCAAGGAACAGCAATTCATTTTTATATATAGATGTCTGTTTACTTTTTATTGCAATTACATAAAATTCATACTCCTTACAAGTGTTATAATATTTATTTACCAACGGAAAATATGTAGTAAAATCACGAAAAATACATAAATAATATAAATAATAATAATAATGTTTTATTTTGGTTTAAAAAAATATTTTTATTTCATAGAATTCTACTGGCAACATTGCTCTCCAACTATCTGATAATGATTGGAAGTGTCACAAGTCACAACTCATAAGTCATTTAGCCAGCGTTGCTTTTAGTCCGTTTATATGGCATACACAGAGCTTATTCGATTTCGACCGCAACATTCTTAAATTACATAAAAGAATATTTAAATGATTTGGTAATTGAAGAAAAACAATGTTGTGGATTTATTTACATTAATGTCACCTAAACCAATTTATCCGGACGTCTACAGGAAGCCCGAAAGCACAAGTGAAAATAAAATGCCTTTTATTAATATCAAGAAACAATATCTAGCAGTCGGAATGTTAGTTTTCGTAGCATTATTTTTTTTCAATAGTCGACCGGCTTTCCAATGCCAATTTGCTCAGGAAGTGGCCACATATTATCCTACGATATATGGGATTACCCCGACGTATGCAAGACTTGCTCAAAAGGCCGATCTTACAAGGTAATATTTTTCGTGATAGTTAAGTCCTTGATTACTCAAATTTAATTTGTTTAACTTGTCTGATTTTGCAATGTTAGTAATTCTATAGTAAAATAAATATAGAGAAACCTTGATCTTTACTGTAGATAATTCGATATTATAAATGATATTGCTTATTATTGAACTTTAATATAATTAGAGCATCCTTTTGACATCCATTTATGTTATGTTTTTCTCTTTAACCCATATTAGACTGAGGGTTCAATACAAAATATTATGATTAAACTATATTCTTATTTATCAGATTGTCGCAAACATTGTTACTAGTGAAGAACTTTCATTGGATAGTAATAGAGGATTCCGAGACTAAGACTAAGTTAGTCGAAAACCTACTCAAGGAGTCCACTTTGAAATACACACATCTTAATGTGAAGACACAAAAGTCAAAGCTTTCCACGGTAGGTAATGAATATTTTATTTCATAACCAAATATAATGCATCATAATTAAGAAACATTTTTTATCTTTGTACAAGATTATTACATGTATAACAGCATTTTTACATTAATTCCTGATAAGAATAATCAGATATCACTCTGCAGTGATGCAATTCATATTTTCTATGAAATACAAGCTTGTAAAATTCAGCTCACAAAATTTTATGTCAATTTTTCTTCTTGTTTGGGTATTTATAGCAAAGAAAATTACATCAGATATATTTTTTATCAAATCATTATTGATATTTCAGATGTTGGATGTCAATATATGTGTTTTTAAAACTGAAACATTCAAGACCTCTTGGTATTGTGTATGTAAAGGAATATTACATGTTTTGAATGTGTTTAAATATATTTTAATTATATCTTTATCTATTTGTCAATTAAAAAGTGCTTTATAGAAAATTTTAATAACATTTCATATTGATTTTCATGAATTCTGTTAGTCATAAAATCTCTTACAAACTATTTGAATTACTACTAACAATAAATTATATTAAAAATTATCAAGACATGTAAATTTCTATTAAACTTAAGTAATTTGAGCCTCTTATTATATTCTCAGTTAGTATTCACTTGTTATTGTTTAAAATTTCTGTATGTTGACATAATACAAATAAAACCAAATAATTTCTTCTCCAAAAACAGAATCTGTTATACAGTTTCTATGTTAAATGTATTATAATTAAATATAATACTTTTCTATAAAACTAATGTAGAAAATGTTAAATTATTTCAGGCTAGCGGAGTCGAGCAACGGAATATTGCTTTGAATTGGCTTCGGGATCATCTAAAAAAAGTCGAAGACAAGAAGGGTGTTGTTTACTTTATGGATGATGATAATACATATTCCTTGAAAGTCTTTGATGAGGTATGTACCATATAATTATTGTCAATATAAAAAAAATGGTAAACTAATACTTGAAAGAAAAGCGAATGGACTGGTATATTCAGTTAGATGCAGAATTAAATGGACCTATAATTAGTATTTTTATTTAAGTTGTTCATATATAACTTTTTAAATTCTTATAGAAAATTAATGTATCTTTGGAGGAAAATATATATCTCTAATTTATTCATGAAATTTTGCATATTTGATATTTGTAACTTCTAACCATCATTACAATGTTCTGTTTCTTATTTTTATCGTTTTTAAGTAAAACTATTTGTTTATATTAATAGTATAATTACTTTACAGTGTTAAGGTATGTATAAACTTACAATATGTATCAGTCATGAAACAATGTGGAGTGTTTTGTATAAACAAACAATTATACAATAAATAAACATAGAATGTTATGATTTATAAATTCTTAAATGCTGATAAGATATTTGTAAATAAGCTGAAGTATGCTAATGGACCAATAAAAATAATATGTATAAATTCTCAAGCATAATTTATTAAAATCAGTGAATTTGTAATTAATCAATGAAAATAAATCCTATTGTTTTGTCATCATAATAATTGAATGACCTAAAAAGTGCTAGCATTGTTGATTTTTTCTCACAAGGTTAAGAGTCAATTCATAGACAATGTACATAAATTTTATCTCATTTTTTTCTTATTACTTAAAAGGTTAACTTATCTTATATCTATAATAAATAATTAAGGCTTTTCTTAGGTTTTTGTTACAAATGTTTATAATATAATAAAACTTAATCATTTTCTGTATAAGTCACCAAATTGTAAATTATGTATTTCAGATGAGGAAAATTAAGAAAGTTGGAACTTGGCCAGTCGGTATAGTAGGAGGTATGAGGGTAGAAATGCCACTTGTTACTAACGGCAAAGTGTCAGGCTACAATGCTGTTTGGAAGCCTTACAGACCCTTCCCCATAGATATGGCTGGTTTCGCAATCAACGCGACACTGTTCTTAGATCATCCTGAGGCGAAATTCTCCAGAAAAGTTCAATCTGGATTCCAGGTAATATATTGGTTTTGGTTTTAAAGTTTTAAAGAATTTTTTTACGTGTTTTTTTTTACTAAAAAGTGACTAAAGTCGGAAAAGCTTTATTTTATTCAATCTATATTGCAAAAGAATTGCATAACTTCCAATCATATGCAACCATTCGAAAAAAAAACTAATTATATTAAAAAAACTCGTTACCGTATATTATCAATTATTAACACATGTATGAAACAAGTGGCGCGTGTATAAAGGTCACTGACGTCGAATATATTTTTAATTGGTATTTGAATGTATGCTCATTGGTGACGATTGAATTTAAACTCTATATTCATACAAATACGGCATATATTTATATACAGAAGTAATTAAAATATAAGAAGAAATTAAATTCTATTCATCAATTGTTTGTTTAAACTAAATTTAAATTCTTTATTCTAATTTACGGTCCAGTTATTCATTTAGCACGTGACTAGAAGAAGTAAGACCTTGAACAATGAACTCCATAGCAACTATTTTTTATCTTGAATTATAATTTACAAAAATATATGAGTTCCATTTGAAAACTGCTTATCGGTAGTTAAAAACGAATAAAAATACTTTTTCCTTTATCTTCATTACGTGTTTATGGTTTAATTTTATTTGTATGTATCAAATGAATGTCTCACAGAATTAACATATCTAATACATTTTGCATATGCTCAGAATAATTATATGCAAAGAATGTCATGTTATACGGTGACTTATTATTATTACTATTTCTTTTTCCTGGCAATATCCCAGCTTTAGCCAGGGTCTACCAAGTGACTTACTTAATAAGTAATAATAATATTAGTGACTTATTATTACTACGTCCCTTCTTAGTAGTCCTGTAGAAAATAATCCTCTCTTTTATATAAATTTTAATGTAATTTCTTTAAAATTTCTAACAAGTTTTAAATAATTCCCTATTATCATATACAAATTGAATTTTAACATGACTGTTGACATGTTACCCGCATACAATACAAGATAACGTATCTCGCTTTCACTTTTGTTTTCATTTTTTTATACATTATGATAATAAGTTATTATTATTAGTGTTGAGATGTGTTTGTTTTGATTTCAGTATCGGTTATTGGGTCAAATATGGCAAAGAATATTGTAAATTATTATTGTATTCTATTCGGCGTATTGTTACTGCCAGTAACGACAGTAACCAACGAAAATTATTATATAGTGTTTAGTATTCGTCATCAGCCTATCAGAGCCCACTGCTGAGCAAAGGCCTCTTCTCACATGGAGAAGGTTTGAGCATTAATCACCACGCTTGCTCAAGACGGGTTGGTGATTTCAAACTTATAATTGTGAAACTATAAGTCCAGGTTTCCTCACGATGTTTTCCTTCACCATATGTCAGTGGTGTCTAAATACTCTCAGAAAGTACATATGACTCCGAAAAATCACATTGGTACGTGCCAAATTTGAACCCGCGCTCTCGGCAACGAAAGGCGGGCCCTTTAACCACTAGGCCACCACAGACTAGTGTTTAGTATTGTGGTTCAAATATTGAATTATAATGTTTTATGATTACAGGAGAGCGAAATATTAAAATACTTCACAAGCAAAGAAGAATTGGAGCCTCTAGCGGAGAATTGCACCAAAGTGTACGTATGGCACACGAGAACTCAGAAACCTTCTATATTGAATCCAAAGAAGCTAAAACATCCGCCTATACCCGACGATCATATCGAAGTCTGATTTCATTACTATTATTATTGGATCCTAATATTGAGCGTTGAACGCAACTGAAGCTATTTAAAGTATGTAATTGGTATGTCGAAATCGCATTCGAGACATCCAAATTTTTCGGGTTTGTCTTTCGGGACTTCATAATTTATCGAGATTGTCTTTCGAGACATCAGAATTTTTCGAGTAATCGAAGACGGAACACGTTGTCTTTAACATGACATTTATTCAAATGACAGTATTTTTAATGCAATGGTGCATTGTATGTTATATGTATGTAACCATTTATTTGGAAATTGTACCATGGTAACCTTGACTTAGCAATAATTATTGAATCTATACATGTATAGGAGATTTTTTATATTTAGATATTAGTAAATTAAACTGGTACCGCTTTATTTATTAGAACTTTATTAGTATTTTGTCCAGTTTAGATTTATTTCCTTGTAATTATACGACGAATGCTCATCAAATTTATTTACATGACAGTAATGTAAAAGAAATTTGTAAATCAAAATAGTATCGAGTCCTAGTAGTTGTAAAAAATACTCAATAAATATATAATTATATGATTATGATCAAATATATAACGTTTTATAATAAAAAAATAATATTGTAAGAAAATTATTAAAGTAACATATATCGGCTTTTAAATTGATTTGATAAATAAATTTATCTGGTTTGAAAATGTGACAGCAAAAGTATTACAAAAAATATGTTTAATTATATGTACTAGAGGGTTAAAATATTAGAACAAAAATGTTAATGCAATAATGGTGTGTAATAAAAATAGGTAATTTTTTAATTTAATAGTCACAAATATACATTATATTACTTTAAATAAACAAAATAATCATGAATATTAACTTCGAGTTATAGAACCTTATTTTGACATATTATTTCAAATGGTTATAGATTTTTTATACATATATGAGTTTTTATACGTGATTTCTTAATTGATTAACAGATTTTGATTAGTCATGCTATTTCAGTAGTCTATTCTCAAGATATGTTTTAAATTAAAGTAAATTTCCCCATCAATGTAAAGTTAATTTATATATTTTTATCTTACATTTTTATTCTTTTGAAATGAATTGTATTTTTCATGTTCACAAGAAAGAAATATCTCAAGAGCAATATGTTACAAAGTATATTTTTACTTGTATTTATTTGTATGTTTTGATCATCTTAGCTTAAAACAGACAAGTGAATTTTATTCTTTAGGACTTCCTTCGGCCTAAATCTAGTTTTAAAAGTATTATATTAATTTAAAAAAAATATTTCCTACCCTACATTCCTCTTCCCAATTTTATTTTAAATTTTATCTAAAATATATATTCTGACTAAAATCATCTGATTATTATTGGTTTAAAGTATTTTTATGTTCATATATGTATGTACATATGTATTAAATACATACATTATCCATATATATTATACAATTGTAATTTGTAATATGCTTATCAAATCTTTCCATTTTAATTGCAAAATAATCACCATATATTACACGGTATAAAGTTTTTATATAAATAAATTAAAGACTTATTTATTATTCTGTAATCAACATTATTGAGCAGAAGTGACTAAGCATGATATATATAGATTTATTTGTCTGAGTGATTAATTCTGATGCTCAATTTTGTGTGATGTTTTTAGTCGGAATCATTATTTTGTATTTACCTTGTGATCTTTTATTATTCTTTGAAACATCATTTACCAGTGTTTTATTAGTGTTAATGCTATATATATTAATTTTATATTCCAACTAGCTTTAAAGGGTGCATAATAATGACTTAATGTTAACTACTGTCGGTCTAAAACTGAACTATGAATGTACTTATTGAGTTATAATTATAGATATATTAGCGTTTTTACCATTGTTTGTGTGTTGAAAACGAATTTTATATGATTTTTTTTATCTTAGATTTTACATTATATTGTATAAGTAACCCTCATAATCTGGCTGCACGTATCCCTAAAACGTGTTATATATAGTCACTGATTGTATCAAAAAATCAAACAGAGCAAACGTGTTCAGAATTTATATTTGATTAATATTTTCGCTTATACAAGGGGATTCTTTTAGGATTGTTTTCTATTTTTCATAATAATTTGATATATTTGACCGTTTTGTGACACCCATGTATTTATCATTTGTAATCCCTATTTATGTAGAGGGAAGTGAAATCATGTGTGGTATATATATAATTTTTATTGTAATATGAATATTTTGTTTGCTGGCTAATGGCATCGAACGCTAAAACAGTATTTTGTATATATGTATTGAAATATCGGAAATAAATCAATAAGTCTTGAAGGTAAATGTTTTAATTTTATAAAAACTTTGTAATTTCGCAGGATTTAATCACCAAAATTGGTTTTTGGATGATACGAAGCAGAGGAAATTATATATTAAAGTATTTTATTTGGCAAGAAAAGAATGATAAATATAAGATCCATGCAATGAGTTTAGAGATGCAGAACGAGTGGTTAGACATACGAGATTTTTGCAACCCATTAGCATTAGCACTAAAATCATCATATCATCATCGGCCTGTCAGAGCCCACTGCTGAGCAAAGCCCTCTTCTCACATGTAGAAGATTTGAGCATTAATGACCACGCTTGGTCAAGACGGGTTGGTGATTTCAAACTTATAATTGGAAATTATAAATACAGGTTTCCTCACGATGTTTTTCTTCACCGTCTGTCATTGATGTCTAAATACTCTCTGAAAGTACGTATGACTCGGAAAAATCACAATGATACTTACCCTTATGCAGGAGAGGTGGGATATATTTATGTATTCGCAAATTTTAAAGCGCATTGTAATGATAGAGCTTACGGTTCCTTAGGAAACCAAAATCACCAAAGACCATACCATCAAGGTCAATAAATACTACGAACTCACTACAAATAGGTTCGTCGTGGATTTGTACACGGTAGAAGTGGGAGCGAGAGGTATGATGACTAAATCTCTCTACAACCTACTACAAGACTTGGGCCTGCCCAGAACTAATATCAATTCATTCTTGGAACGTACTTCGGAGGCAGCCCTAGTAGTTCTTTTCAGATTTGGTTAGGTAGGGAGAGGAGCTTGGACGGTGGGGCCACTTAAATCTACACCTGGGTCGCAAGTTCCAGGCATTGTTGAAGATCCTCTCCATGCAACGCGATGGACTCGGCACCCGCACGTTGAATACCTACATTGAATGCCAAGAGGTTTCGTCTCCTCTTTATATAATAAAATAAAACATTGCTTGTTTGTATATATGATCAGGTTAATTCAAAAATAACTTTTTAATTACTTTTATCATATAACTAAATTATTCAATTTAAAATGATTTGTTTCAAAAATTTAATTGAAATAGTTTAAAGCTTGGTTTAGTTCACGATTTGTTTATTATGAGCTACATCGAAATCCGTAAAATACTTATTATTTTAATATCATATCAATATATTTTACCATGTTTTGGCTTCATTTACACTGGAAATGTAGAATATTCTAGAAATGTCAACAATGACATCCAAATTCACGTTTATAGCCAAATAATAGAGGTTGGCAACCGGAGGTTCCAGGAAAACTACGAATTTTACTTATATTATGTATATTGTAATAAGAATTACTTATTAAAACTTGTTATTTATATCTAAGTACATGATTGTCCCGATGTTAGGATAGCAATCCCATTCCATAGCTTGTGTACCTAGTATCAGAAATCTTCTGGTTCACACGGCTTGGTGTTTGTTTCGGGGAGTCAGCAGAGTCACCCTTTATATGATATTTTATCTTTAGGACGATTTTGTTCTGGCGATGTTCATTTATTTCTTAAAACATAGCGCGTACGTAACAACCATGTATTTATGTCATAAACATTACTGTCACTTGTAGCGTCTAAAGAGAAGCGATATCATAGAAAAGTAGTTAAAAAGGAAAATCAAAAGTTATCTGCTTTAAGCAAAACAAAATTCAAATAAGTTTTCCAATTAAATTCTCGATCTTTGATCTTCAAAGCGTCTTGTTTTGTAGCCGACAATCCGTCCGTTACAAAAGTGTACTTTATGTTCAGATTAGGAAGATCAAGAGTAGGTATTTTAAAATAAGAAAACTTATTATGAGTTTAAAATAGCCTATTCAATGAAAAAATAATTATGCGTGGAGTCAAACCACGTGGAAGAAGTAAAACTTCGTAATGTTGGAACAAAAAAAGGGAAGGGAAGAAATTGATTATTGAGGAGTTCTAAGTAGGTATTTCTTTATGACAAGCTTTATTAACATTACTTACAAGTCACAATTTATTGTAGCAGCATGCATTCCCTCTCGCTCTGTCTCTTTATATCCCCACCCCTTGGAGCGTAAAACGTTTAACGCAACCTTACAGGAAGTCGCATAAGAAGTTTCACTGGAAAGAATTGTACTTTAGCGCATGTTTGTATTAAAAATAAATGCGGTTTTTCACGTGATGACATCAACTTTGGCTTAATAATGGATATTAGTCATCTGGCAACTCTCAATCTCTTGTTTTTAGTGTAACTAAATAATATAATAAATGCTTTAGATTCTCATAATGTATCGTGCTCAATGTTGTAAAAAAACACTTTCCTAATATCTATATATATAAAAATCAATGCCACTTTTCGTTGTAATTCCATAACTCAAGAACGGGCTCACCTATCCAAACCAAATGCTTAGGATTTGGTCGGCATATTTAGTAGATGGTTTATGTGAAGTTTGCACAAAATCGGTCGAGCGGTTCCTCATTTGTCACATTTTTTGTAATAAATGAATTCAATAGAAACTTTTTTCACAGAAACTTTTTTTAAGTTTTGTTGACAGGACAAGCACGTTGTTATGTCATTCATGCCGTCAATTCATTTTGGACGTGGTTTGATTAAATCATATTATCAGCGATAAATTTCTTTTCACATAATTGCATTTGCAGTGCATTCATACAAACGGTGAGTCCTGAATTTATGTATACTTTTCTAAGTTGCCGTATATGATTTCACATGG